TTAATTTTAATTTCTTTCTAGGAGACTATATAGCTTTGTTTTTAGTTAGTTTTTATTCTATTTTCTTTTCATTTTCTTATATGTAAATTTGTAAAAGTTTGATAAATAATTAATAAAGATAAAGGCTACTATGCCATGTTTGCCCAAAAATGTGACTTAGATCCTGATCTGCTAACTCTTTCTTGTAGATCCTTGGTCAAAAATTTCGCGAAAGAAATTTTTATTCTTCATATTAACACATCTCTTATTTTACTACTAAAATGCCTCCCAAAGGTAACAAAAAAGCTGGCAATAACTCTAACAGGGGACCTGCCAAACGTCAAGACAAACGAAACAAAAATAAAGACTCTGGCTCTGACGTTTTGAACTCAGATAATGAACAAACAAACAATAAAAACAACCCTTCCAAACGTACCCGTACGCTCCCAGATAATCCTATGAAAGAAGACTACGTCGCCGATAGGGTTGGATCGGTCCTAGCAAAGACCGGTCCTGCGTCAGTCTTGGGACCGGTCTTCACGGTCTTCGGTCCGAGATTTGGGGACCGGTCCGGACCGGGACCGATCACATGATTTTTTGTATCCAATAAAAATGAGCCAGATTTTTGTGCTCNAGTAAAAGAACTTTTCGACGTTATATGAAGTTATTACCGAGGTCTTTAGTTTCGCCTGAACTCCTTATGGCTTATATTGAGTTAGGACCGTTATCTTGAGTTTTCCTGAGGTTTATGTTTTTATTTTTTGCTTTTTGTTTTTCTTGGTCACTTTTTTTGGTGTAACCTTATTTTCTTTGGGGTGGGGGATACTGGAAAATTTGATCGTCATGTAGCTTGGTGTTATATTTCAAAATCGATGATCACTCGGGTAATAAGGGGGTGACAGGTTGGGTACCGCAGTTTTTGTAGTATGCTGATCATGGTGGTCACATGTTGGACTATCATTGGATTGACTTATCTAGGTAGATCTTAGGCCGATGGATCGTTCAGAATGAGGTGGGTGTCCTCCGTTTGGGATCGTTCGTAATGAGGTGGGTGTCCTTTCGGGGATTGCACGACACTAAAAAGTTCCTCATTGGCTGGACTGCACGACACTAAAAAGTTCCCAGAGGTCTTTGTGAAATAGGTTTGTTATTCATAGTATGTAGTCAAATAGGGGAAATTGAATTTTGTGTATTTTTGATAGCGCTAATGGTATTTGGCAATGGGATTCTTTGATCTTTAAATGTAGCAAGAGGTCTCGCTGGGTACGTATAGCATAGTCGATTCTACCGGGTTTGAGATATAATTCGGGGGGTAGCCATAGTTATTTATATAGAGAGGGTGTTGGGTTTATAATCTTGCATTTTTTTTTATGTATTTTTCTAGGAAGATTATTGTTCTTGTATTAGATTAGTTCTGCACTTTGTTGCAGTTCTTTTTTGAATACCTGATATTCTCTAAAGTAACTTGTGGCAAAAATTAATAAAATTCAAGCGCAGCTTTGTTAAACCAAAAGTGTGACTTATAACCTGTTTTGGAGATATCTGGGTCCTATTGAACATGACAAAAATCAAAATAATATACTTCCTTTACAACAACAACTAATTTTACTAAAATTCAGAGAGCTCCTTGTAAAAAAAGAATAAAGAGTAGTATTGAAGTGATAGGAAGAAAAAAGGTAATGCATGAAACTTCAAATCATGTTAATGTACAAGAGACTTATGATAGTAGACGAACATCAAAGTTGCAATGAAAATATTTGTTATGCAAAAATCCAGGACATTATCAAAAGAAATGTCCAAGTATAAGAGAGTAAGACAGTAAGTGTGATGTTAATGTAATGATAAGATGCAGTGCATGATATATATAGGTTCGTTAGATCATTTGATTATCTAATAGTTGATAAAGTAATATATATATGCACATTATACTAATTAATAATTTAATTGCATTATGTATTACTTAATTAGAGTGAACATGAAATCGTATAATGTTGTGATACGTTTTTTAGGGGAAGCGAAAAATCTATATAAAGAACTGCTGTTCGCAGGTAGGTGGGAGGTTTGGGAGGTTTAGGGAAAAAATTAAAGTCTTTTCTGAAAACTTTTTTTTTGATTCATTGCTTCTAATGAAATTTAATCATTTTTTACTCAATAATCATAATAAAATATTCATTAGAAAGAGGAGAAAATTCTATACATTTTTATTCATTTAAATTGTACTTTTTATTATATTTTTAATGATATAATGCCATATTAAAAATTGGAATTTTTTAAATTTTTTTTTTGTTTTTGTTTTTTTTGTTTTTTTTTTGTTTTTTTAAAAATAAAAATTTAAATTAAGGAAGTTACATATATTACATAATATTCAGTTTAACTATATAAACTTACTCCCCCCTCCCCTTGTCAGATTTAATAACCAATCAAATTATAATATTTATAAATTATATATTTTATTAAGTGTAATGTTATATTTTATTATTTTATAAACTTTTTTAATTTAATTTTTATTTATTTATTTATTTTTTTTATTCTAAATTTTTATTATTAAAATTATGATTCATTTAATTTAACTGTATTTATTAAAGAATATTAAAGAATTATAGAAGGGTTGATTGGCGAATAATTAAATTTATTCATATTTTAGATAAAGAATTGAAATTTCACTTCATTGCTTTTTTTATTATTACTTTTGCATTATTTTAATTGTTAAATAGAAAATTTAATTTATAGATTAATTCTGGATTGAATACGTATTTTACAATAAATTATACAA